ATAGCTTTGAGCTTTCAGTGACCCTCCTGCGTCAGCTTGGGAGTGGAGAGTTGTACAAGCCTGGCTAGTTGTTGGCTAATTAGAATAACAGAATACCTTTGGCCACTTAGGTTTTGAAAGGGATGGATACGTGTTCTAGTTGTGGTCTCAGAAACTGGTCTTCAGGGGTCGGGGAGATAGCTTAGTTGGCAAAAGTGTTTGCCGCAGAAGAATGAGGACATGCTTTCTAGAAGCCATGGCAAGGCTGAGTGTGCCACCACTTGCAAGTTGCCTGCCTCTGGTAGCCTCTTGCAGGCCCTGGTGCTGGCTGTCAGCTGCTGTGAGCACAGTCACGGGGAGGAGACTGGTTGGAAGTGTGGGGCTTGGGAAGGAGGCCGGGGAACAGGGAGATGCAGGAAAGACGCTCTGACTAAAGGTGAGAGCGTAGGCACGTGAAGACAACGTGGCCTTGGGGAGGCGAGAGGGAACCCCAGGTCGAACACACCTCAGGGAAAGGGACAAGACTCAGGTGCATCCAGGTGACCATTTGGAGTGTGCAGTCTGGACGATGGGTGCGCCTGTGGAGTCAGCGGCCACTGTTGTTTCTCACTGCTCCATTTCCCCACTTCCACTTTTTCTTTTTGGTTTTTCTCTGTAGCTCTGGCTGTCCTGGAACTCATCTGTAGACCAGGCTGGCTTCTAAGTTGGAGATCCTTCTGCCTCTGCCTCCCAAGTGCCAGGCTCTACCTTTCCACAGTCCTGTCATGGAGGAGACCAGGGACAGGGCAGAGATCTCTGCATAGAGGACGGCAGAGACCTAAGGTGTCCCTTGGGTCCTAGCGCCAGACGAGGGTGGTTTGTGAGGTAGGGACTAGGATTCTAGAAGGGGCTGTGGGTGGTGTGGCCCCTACAGGGACGGTCCAGGATGGTGGATCAGGGATGGTGCTGGCAGTCGTAGCTGGACAAGAAGCTCTTCTGAGGAAACAGGAAACGGGAGCACAGTCCCCGACATCGCCTCTCAGGCCAGGGGTTTGCTCACTCAGCAGTAAATGTGTCGCAGCAGGTCCTAAATATTTCACTATACTGTGTATGTGGTGGTGGGGATTTGGGTGTGGGAGAGTGCACCCCTGGTTCCTCACACCAGGGAGCCCAGAGACAGGCAGATTCCTGGGCTTGCTGAGCAGCCAGCCTACCCTCCTTGGCAGACTGTAGCCCATTGAGAGCCTCCCTCCACACACAAGGAGGACCTAAGAAAGACCTCTGGTGTCCACACACACTTCACTTCTGAAGATAGCATTCTACCACACCCATGGAAAGTTGGTTCTTTGAATGTCATGTGTGTGTTGTGTTCCAAGCCAGAACTGTGCGGTCATGGCTGCCAGGGTGGCCTCGGGGCTATAAAACAGCTGCTCTCACTCTCAGTGTGACCCGCTGTGTAGCTTTTGTGATAGACGTCTGAGTCAAGGAAGCCACCATGTTGTAGCAGGGACCTGCCACTGTTCAAAGTGTGTGGCGTGCTCATGAACTGACAAGAACCTGACGGCAAAGGCCTCTGACAGAGCTACCGACTGGCCTCTGTGCACAGTTCCAGAGCTGGGATGGGTGAGGCAGGGACTCCAGGTCCAGAAAGAACAGCAAGAAAGCACGTGCTAGCCAGGGAGCTCAGGAAACCTAGAAGCTACATAGCACAGCGCGTGGTCCCATGGAGCTCCTCAGGGCTGAAAGGCTCGGTATCTCTGTCCTTGCTGCAGTGATCCCCCAAAGGGTCCCTGCTCTCCCACAGTGAAGGGACACTGAGCATGACCCCCAGGACTCCTCTCAGGCACCTGCAGAGGCTTGGTGCTGTTGGCCTCTTGGATCAGTTGAGGAAGTGGGCCTCATTAGATCGGCATTTCCTCTGAGCAGCCCACTCGTCTGTGTGGGTTTTGGGGAACACACCTGCACTAGTCTAGTGCTGGGCGCATGATTTGTAGATCAGTCCAAGGGCAGAGCTTCGGGCTCTCAGGGGATGGTCCCATTCCTGGCCACTTCTGTGTGGGCATCTTCCAGAATCTGCCTGTGACAAGGCCCAGAGCAGAAATAGGTCAGGCTCCCAGTGGGGTGAGGAGGGCCCTCCACAGATTGCCTAGCTGATGTAGTGGAGAGAATGAAGAGCCTCTAGCACATGTGTAGGTGGCAGGGCTTGCGATTACTTGGGGTCTGGTGACCAGATACTCAGGATGAGCTTCTAGCCTTTGTGGTTCTGTGCTACAGAATCTGACTAGTGGCTGTGTGAATCCTATGTTCTTTCTCATTCTGTTGTCCTGACAGAAAGCCAGGCCTGTGCTGGCAGGGCTGCAGCCACACATGGCAAGCCTCTGATTGACTACATTGCTTGTCAACAGAGCTAGAGATTCATTAGTAGGTGTCCGGTCCTGATGCCAGGCCTTGCCAAGCTAGAGCCCTCTGTCAGTGCTGAGACCTGGAGGAACTATTAGAACTATTAGATTAAAAAGGTCTTGGTCACAGTAGGACCCAGTCATTCTTTTTTTTTCTAGAATTTTTTTTAAGCAGTCCAGTGATCCATTTTTCCAGCCCCCTACTTTCCTCCTCCTCATCCTTCTTCTTCTTCTTCTTTTTTTTTTTTTGAGACAGGGTTACAGTATGTAGGCCTAGCTATACTGAAATTCATTTTGTAGACCAGGCTAGGCTCCAGCTCACATAGATCTGCCTGCCTCGGTCTCTTGAGTACTGAGATTAAAGGTATGCGCCACCACCGCTCACCATTACGGCTGTCTCTTCTCCCATCTCTGGATAGCTAAGACATCTGAAGTACCCATGACTTCTCACACAGAAGGCCATGCCTAGTCTCACTGGCGCCTTCTCTAAGGCTGGGAGCACGAGTGCATGGGACTTAGGACAAGTCTGTCATAGCTCAGTCAAAGCCTCCTTCCATGATTTGCACTGTTGATGGCTGGAATTACTCTTCTAGAGTTAGGAGTAAGCACCATCTGGGCGTGAGTGGGACACTGAGGGACCATGTCAATGCTGTCTTCTCACACAATTTCCCCTCCTTCCAGAGCAAGCAGGAAGCTAGTTCAGAGCGGAACCTTCCCCTGACTTGGGAGATGTGTGCCTTTAGAGTTGGCCATCCGATGTCACCAGATATCCTGAGCTAGCTATGAGAATTACCATACACTGAATGTGATGTCCCTCCAGCTGGGCACTGCAGACACAGCTGCAGTCAGTGGTGTCCAGAAGTAGCACTCTCTCCTGGGATATATGGGAAGAAGTGCTGTGACCATTCCTGAGGACTCAGTAGGCCCCAGCTGGGCCTTCCAAGGTGCACTTAGAACAAGTCAGGAGTCCTGGGGCTGCTGGGTCCTCATTCCAGCAGTGGAGACTAGTCAGGCTTCAAATCCCACAGGCACCTGGGCAGACAACCCTATCCATGTGTGACTGAGGTCTTGCTAAACATGAGCATTTAGAAACCTTTTTATTTCTAATTATGTGTATGCAAGCACCAGTGTCAAAGGCGGAATCCATTTCCCTAGAGCCGGTGTTTACAGGCAGTTGTGAGCTGCCTCAGGTGAGAGCTAGAAGCTGAACTCGGGTCTTGTAGAGAGCAGCAGGTGCCCCTGACTGCTGAGTCGTGTCTCCAGCTCCCACACTCCCACAGCCACATTCCCACAGCAAGGTTGTTTTTTTGTTTGTTTGTTTTTTCGTTTTTGTGTAGCCCTGACTGTCCTGGAACTCACTCTGTAGACCAGGCTTGCCTCAAACTCAGAAATCCACCTGCCTCTGCCTCCCAAGTGCTGGGATTAAAGTTGTGCGCCACCACTGCCTGGGCCACAGCAAGGTTTTAAATACTGATTGAGCAGACAGTTTGCAGTGCCGGCTTGGCTGACTGAGCATGGGTTCCCCTGCTGCGCATGCTTTCTTCAGGTCTTCTGTCCTGGTCTGTCCTTATGTGATGACGTAGGCCGTCCCTCAGCACCGTCAGCCATCCTGACTTGTTCACTCTGTGTCTTGGCCTCGTGAGTGCCACATGGTCCAGTTAGCATGACTTGTTTCACAATTCAGAAGGAAGGTGGTGGGCTTGCCTGCTGTATCATCCAGACTTCTAGTGTGGAGTGAGCAGCTCAGGGGACTAGCACCTTCGGCAGGTCCATGGGTTTTTAGAGAGAATGTACTTTTTAAAGTTGTGGTGACCCTTGGAGTAAACCAGCTGATGGTCTCCAGGTTTAAGGTCCCCAGAGTATCTGAAGATGTCATACATGTCCTTTGAATTTGATGACACTGGGCCATCTGGAGAGGATACTTATTTTTTGTTGTGGGTCTTGTTATGAAACGGCCCCTCTGAACAGGATTTATACCATGTACTTGAATTCTGGGGTAGGAGAAACTTCTAGCAGGATGCAGCCTCAGTGGAGAGTATCCCGTTCCACTGTGTCAAGGGGACTAGCAGCAGAGGAATGCAAGCAAGGGCAGACAGCAGATTCCACCCTGTTCACTGATGAGCTGTGCAGCCACACCCTACCCCCAGGCCTTTCATGCCATCTTAGTTGGTGCCATTCTCCTGCCTCTGTGCAAATCCACGTGCACAGGGATGTCCTGTTTATTTCGAAGCTCTGAACTTGGGCTCCTGTGACAGGATAGAGGTGAGGCGGCTGGAATGAGCTGCCCTGCATCCAGAGTCTGAAAGAATCAAAGCCCTTCTGATCCAAACTCGGCTGCAAAAAAGTTAACCTGTGCCTTTGCTTCTCACCAAATATTGGCCATTGGGCATTCAGGCCAGGTCCTGGCTGGGGCTCCTGCGGGCCTTCAAGCTGCCCTCCTAACCGAGAGCCTTGGGCTATGGCCTGGTCAGTCTGTCTGGCTTCTGAGCTAGACCCTGAGCTCAGCGGGCTGTTCTGCCTTGTTCCATAATCTGCCTCTGCAGACAGATTCTCAGCAGCCTTTCCTGGTACCTCTTGACCCTGTCTTAGCTGTTAGCCAAGTGACAGAAGTGGATTATAATTCTCTGTCATGTTCCTTCCTAGTGTCCAAGATGTATGCAGTGTGATGCCAAGTTTGACTTTATCACCAGAAAGGTAAGCTGAGGCTGTGGTGGGGGTGGGGCGGTGGAGGTAGTGCTAGGCCTATAGACAGAGTTCTTTCTGGGGAAAGCCCAGTTCCTAAAAGGAGCTGGAACTTACAGGCTATCTTGATGTCCTCTTTCAGTCAGCTCCCCCACGGAGTACTGAGCTCTCAAAGAGGCTCAAGAGACAGCCTGTGCTGGGCAGCAGGAGGTCGAAGGAGTTGGCTTGGGTTGTGCTTGAGTGATTGAACTGCTCACCTAGAATGCATAAGGCTCTAGGTTTAGTCTCTAGCAACACCCACCCACCACACACAGACACACACACACACACAGACACACCCCACACAGACACCTACCACACACAGACACATACCTACCACACACAGACACACACACATCACACACCCACTACACACAGACACACCACACACAGACACATACCCCCACTATACACAGACACACACCACACACACAGACACCACACACAGACATACAGAGAAGCTCTTTGGTCCATTTTTCCCAAGTGAGGCAGAGCTCTGCTGTGTTGACAGTGGGTTTGTGTGGAAGTGACGTACAGTACAGGTGCATTCTGGGGGGTCCTGTTTACTGCCCGACCTTTCTCCTCATCAGCATCACTGCCGCCGCTGTGGGAAATGCTTCTGCGACAGGTGTTGCAGCCAGAAGGTGCCACTTAGGCGCATGTGCTTCGTGGACCCGGTGCGCCAGTGTGCCGACTGTGCCCTGGTGTCCCACCGCGAGGCTGAGTTCTACGACAAGCAGCTGAAGGTGCTCCTGAGTGGTAAGCAAGCGTGGCGAGTGGACACGCTGTCACTTAAGGTGCGGCCTGCTCCAGGATGTGTGTCTTGCCCTCCTACTTTCTTTTGAACCTACTTAAAAGCAGCTCTAGAGCTGACCTCAGAGATGGAAATGTTCCAAGGTGTCTGACTTACTGGGCACTGCCATCAGAAGGACAGGGAGCCTGGGCTAGCAGCACCTTCCCCAGATGGAAGGCTGTCACTAGTAGTCAAGTTTGTGTGACCATGGGCCTAAAGGGGAGAGGCCTGGAGACAAGCTACTGAACCACATCCCTCCGAGGAGCACAGGGAGAGTTCTCTTGGGGGGTGGGGCCTGCCTCCCACAGCTCTGCCCTGCAGCACAGCCTCTGTGCTGGGGGCCTGTGTGTACCCCGCAGGCGAGGGCCTCCTCTTCTCCGTCACTTTGGTCTTGTCCACTCTGCTCTAGAGTAGAGTTACTAGTGTTTGGTCTGGGACTTGAATTCCCTCTCCTGCTTGCTGTCTTTGAAGGTTGTAACAAAATCCACAGCTTTGTATGTGTAGCAGTGCCTTTATTTTGTGTGGATGGGTATTTTTCCTGCATGATGTCTGTGTGCCATGTGCCTGCCTCATGTCTACTGAGGTCAGAAGAGGACATCCATTCCCCTGGAACTGGAGTTCGAGGCAGATCTGAGCACCATGTGTGTGCTGGCCATTGACTGGAGGGCTTTTGAGAGGGAGGGCATCAGCGCTAACCACTGAGCCGCTCCAGTCTCCAGACAGGGTCTTTTTAAGCTTTTGAGACCCTTAATTCATTATTGACTTTTTCCTAACCAAAGGGACCCTAAACACAAAGCTGTCGTTTGTGTCAGCCTGTCCTCTCCCGTGTGGTAGTGGAGGAGAGCTTTTCCGTCCTGAGAGCAGGGTCTGCTGGCAGTTAGATGAAGCAGTAGTCATGTGTGGTTTGGTTTTGTCTTCCAAGGAGCTACCTTCCTTGTCACTTTTGGGGACTCAGAGAAGCCCGAGACCATGGTTTGTCGTCTTTCCAGCAACCAGAGGTAAGAGTAGACGTCGCACCAGCACTGGCCTGTGTTGTCATAAGCTTTTGGCCTCAGTCTCATGACTGTCCCTCTTTTTGTTACAGATGCTTGATTCTGGATGGAGACAGCCATCATGAAATCGAGATTGCACATATCTGTACTGTCCAGATTCTCACAGAAGGCTTCACTCCTGGAGGTACATGCCTTTTCTGAGCAGGAGGGAACGGTCTAGTACCTATGTGGGTAACAGGAGGTACTGCACTTGGTCACAAGATGGCCGCCATGCTCCTCACTGGAGCTTGTATTTAGTCGTAACTTGAGAACCCACCAGGTAAGTGGAAGAGCAGACGATCAGGGGAGATCTGCCTGTTGTCCATGACTTCCTGTGACTTCGGTAATCTTACTCACTGTTAGACTACACTGCAGATGCACTGTCTGGGGTTCCAGACAAGGTCTGGTGGCTGACCTGGAACCTGCGTGCCTGCCTGCTGTCCTTGCCTCCCCTGCAGGCATCTGTGCAGCCGAGGCTCAGTGCCTTGGTGAGCTCAGCGGTCTTAGCTCAGCCTGACTCCATTGGCTGGACTGCGCCTCGCACATCCTGAACCTGCAGATCTGACCTAATGCATCTTGCTTTTCATTCTCTGACTGACTCTTGGTTGTTTCTTCTTTGCACTGCCTGCCTACCTTCTTCAAGTAGAAAAAGACATTCACACTTACACCAGCCTCCTGGGGAGCCTGCCTGTCTCCGAAGGTCAGCCTCCATCCTCCTTGGGCCACTCCTCCAGCATGCTGTGATGTCTGTTCCTCCTCTGGCCCCTTTGCTTCTATCTCTTGGGGTGGATTTTGAAACTTGGGATCACTTTTGATTAAGAGAGATACTAGGTTCAGTGTAAGAGCCTTTAAACCCGTGTCCTGACAGAACCAAAGAAGTTTGCTCAGTTCTTTCCCAGGGGGACGTTCTGCAGGAGTTGACAGCATCTGTCAGTGTAGGGTCTCCTTTGCTGACTGGGCACCAGGCCTATGCAGTGGACAGCAGGTGTCATCACTGTACCCAGTCGCTTACCTCACTCCAACACTGGCCTCCAGGGGTCCCTGCCCCTCAGCGCCTCCAGCTCAGTCTCAGAGGCTCAGCTAGTGGAACCGCAGCAGGGAGGTACGTGAGGTGCACGGAGCAGTAAGCTACTGAAGACCCCAGGTGCCAGATGCTCCACTCCTCACTCTCCTAGGACAGCCTCGCCCCCGGGAGTCCAAAGTTCAGAAAATGTGCATGTGTGTATGTGTGCCGTGCACACGACTAGTGCCTGTAGAGATCAGAACCGTGTTTTCGATGCCCTAGAGCTGGGGTTACAAATGGCTGTGAGCCATCAATTTGTAGGCTGGGAACTGAACCTAGGACCTATGTAAAGGCAGTAAGTGCTCTTAATTACAGAATCATCTCTCTAGCTACCATGGGAGTGTGTGGTTAAAGTGTTTATGGCTCTACAAAGCATAAAACAGCCACAGCCAACAGTGGCTATGACCACGTTTCAGTACGTTTTTATTTACAAAAACTGGTGGTGCCTCGCCCAGATAGGAAGTTGTGCAACAGCTTGGATGAGTCGGCTCAGCCAGGCCTTCAGGTGATCTTGAAGGTTTGAATTAGAATGGACCCCAGAAAGCCTTTCTCTCTGTAAGCCCATCCCCACCCCATCCCCAGCCAGGAGTTTTGCAGGCAAGGAAGTCAGACCTCTTCCTGTGCTGTGGTCTGCATGCTCAGTCCACTGGCCAGTGGGACTCAGACTGCTTTGATTTTAGAATTAATGTCGGATTAAAGGTAGGTTATTTCCCAAAATGTTTTCCTTCTGGTCACCGTGAGAAGGTTAGCGATCATGTGAGGCCGCATGGTGGGCCTGACAGACCTGATTTCTCAAGTGGTTCCTGAAGCAGACCCTAAATTAAAGAGCAGCTGGTTATAGCCAGAGATGGAGCTGTGACTTTGCCTCTTGCTGCATCCAGGGGATGCCAAGAGTCCTGAAGGAATGGCGCTGACAGGGTAGTGGGGCACTGCTCCTGCACTGGCAGTCTGCTCAGCCCCGGCCTCCAACTTCTAGTGAAGCCAGATCGGATGTCACTATCTGCTTGGCTGATCTTCTGGTAGCCAGGCCATTCCTAAAGCAGTTTCTGTGCTTCCACTGCTGTGCGTGCGTGCGTGCGTGCGTGCGTGCGTGCGTGCGTGCGCTGTTTCTCTGAAGGTAGGAAGGGAAGGATCATGGCATGGGTAAGGAGCATGGCGTGGCAGTTTGTGGACTGTTGGGGAATAGGGCTATGTCACACGTCCCTGTCTCAGTGATATGGTACCGTTAGTTTATCCTGGCCCTGGGGATCACATGCCGAGCTTCTATCCCTTTTCCATTCTCTGTGCACACGGGGGTCTCTGCATGTTTCTAACAACGCTGCTTTCTGAGCAGCACACAGGGCATTAAGGTCCCCACATGACACCTCATGTCCCTCCTCCAGCAGGCAGCACTCGAGCCGCAGGCATGCTCCTGCAGTACACAGTGCCAGGGGCAGAGGCTGTAGCACAGTTGAGGCTGGCGGCTGGAGAGGACGCACATGGCAGCAAGAGGCAGGCAGCAGCGTGGCTGGCAGCCATGCACAAGGTACGTACGGCAGGGTGGGGAGGCTGAGTTCATGGACAAGTGTGTTTACCAAAAGACTGCCACATGTCTGGGGTGCCCCTGCCTGCTCAAAGGCACACAGGCACAGAACCAACCACGCTTTATGGTGTTCCACAGGCTACCAAGCTCCTCTATGAATCACGAGACCAGTAACTTCAAGGGAGCTGAGCTCCGAGCATGTCGGGTTACAGAGTCCAAGCTGCTTGCCCCTGCCCGTGCACCCAGGGTTCTGCCCTGTGTGTGCCTGGAAATGCAATTCAAGTCTGGAAGCAGAGTATTCACTTACCTAGTGCAATATGTACACGGCTGATTAATGCTTTAGAGAGCTTATGCTGTACTGCATCGCTGGTACTTGAGTAGGGTTGGGAGAAAGAAGCTGCACTACAGTACTGCTAGACCAGGTTTAGTGGAACCATGTTTCTGTAAACTTCAGGTTCAGTAGACATTTTTGGCCCTGTTCCCACACAAACAAGTTCGGTGGTGACCGCTCAGGCCCCTGGTTTAGCATTGGGCCCTTCCGTTCTCAGTAGCCCACTCACAATGCCTTAGCCTGTTTCTGTCACTCTGCTGTCACTAACCAGGGTGAGGGACAGTCCTTGTGCTATGTCTCTAAGGAGAAGGCATCAGCTTTCTGTTTTCTACTTTCACTTACTGTTTCACTTTATTAAATTGACTGTACAGTAATTTGTATATAAAGTGTATGATTAAAACTTATTTTGAAAGTACACAGTAAGCTCTGGCCTCACTTTGTGCAGCTGTCCTGCATCCAGAACACAAGACTCAAAGCCAGGGGTGAGACAGCAGTTTATTGTGCACGTCACACAGCATCGGTGGCGTTGGGATGGCACAGGCTGCTCATAGGACATCACTTTCGGCGCCACCCTGTGTGATCATCAACGCTTGGCAGCTGACCCAGAGCCTACACAGATTTACACGTAGTTATGCACAAGAGTCACAGAAAAGTCAGGCCTAAGGGCTCGTGTCTCCATGAGAAGAAACACTGCCAACACAGCTCTGGGAGGTTCCAATGGCCTGGTTGAAAAATAATCCTGGTGTATAAAAAGCTGGTCTACAGAGTTCAAGCCCCAGAGCACAGAGCTCGCCCTGCTTGGAATGCAGCCACAGTGACAGTGTCCCAATCTGCCAGGTGGCCTTCCTGAACTGGGCTTTCTAGACCCCGTGTCTTAGCTACTCAGAATAGAAGGAGCTTACGCCAAGGGGAGAATAAACATGACGCTGCACAGCTCAAGCTGTAGGAAGTGCAGCCACAGCCTAACGTCATCAGGAACTAAACAGAGCAGTGTCCAAATGGGCTCCTTTGGTTGTGAGAGGCAATGTGAGAAGGGATGATGGTTTGAGACTTTCCAAGAAGGGGTAGCCAAAGCCACCTGGTAGCAGCTTGCTCTTGCTGAAGGTCTGAGACATTTAACATGAGAAGGGAGGGGCCTTTGGGCCAAGTCAGAGCCTTTGTCTTCACTGGCAATAGTCAGAGGTCATAGTCATGACTTCTTACTGGCAAAAGGGCTGGATGTTGTTGGAAACTGGGAATTTACTTGGATTTACAGTAATTGGCAAAAATGCAGTCCTCTGTAGGCAAAAGTGCTACTTCTCCCAGTTACTGCGCACTGGAGAAGGGCCTCACCTGGGAAGCTGGGATTCACATTGTGGATACTGTCTGCTAAAGTGAGCACCATGAGGCCATCCTAGCTTCAGGTTTTCCAGGGCAGCTGGAATCTTCTCGAGTAGCTCCAGGGAGCAAATCAGACTATGGTACTCCAGGGGGCTCAGGCAAGTGTTCGCTGCCGGGGCTTGATCCGTGGATACAACTGGGAAGCAATGGACAAGAGTTAGGGCACAGATGACTGAGAAGGGTTTGGCCTCTAGGTTCCTCTCCTGTCACCTCAGCGTTCTCTCCAAAACGTGCTTGCTCAGACCTGACCTCAGCTGTCACCTCCACTAAGACCCAAGGATCCTGTTCCTATCTTTATCACACCTGAAAACCTGTCACTGTCCCCAGGGTCCCTCAGGTGTTGCACCCACGCTTTGGCATCTGGCAGGTTCAAAATATCTGGGAAGGTTTGTCAGGAAGCATCTGGCAGGCTTGTCACAGCACTTAGAGGCAACCTTTCTGTTAAAGCATGTTCTGAATGCAGCATAGCTGACAACCGTGACCCACACCTCTCCACGTCATTTCTTTACAGGCTTTCCTTTGGAGCAGTCAGGTCTTTATCCAAGGCTGGCGGTTAACTTTCCTTTCTTCTGCCTTCCAAATGCTGTGCTTACAGAGGGTGGGGATTTGGCTCAGTGGTAGAGCACTGCTCAGGCCCTGGGTTCAATTATCAGTTCAGGAGAGGGAAGGGTTACAAAACTACCAAAGCACAACAGCAGCAGCAGCAAAACCAAAGCAACCAGCAGTAGGACTAGTTTGTACTACTACACCAAGCTCTGGAGAATTCCAGACTAGGGAGAACTACGTGGGTGGCTTAGTACTTGAGAAGTTTGCCATGAGCCAAGCAGACTGAAGTGACCAATAGTCTTTAAACTCCCACATGCTCTCCAGTATGTGACAAAGCCACACACCTCTAGGGACTTGGGGGCTTGCCCATATACAAAGCAGGCTGCTGGGGCTTGGAGAAAAGTGTTCTGTTCTACCTTGATGTCAGCGGAACTGAACCCCATGCTATGAGTGTCTTTGTGACTTTTGTACGGGTCAACAAGGCCAGAAGACTTCCAGCATCAAATCCGAGTGTGCTGAGTGCTTACCCCCAGCAAGTTTTTGGGCACATAGCCCTCCCGGTCCCCAAGACGAGCCCACCACCACTCGGTCTCGTTTTCATCTTTGCGCCTCAGGATGGTGATCGCATCCCCTTCATGGAAGGACAGCTCATCGCTGTTCTGGGCCTCGTAGTCCCACAGAGCATACACCATGCCTTTGTTCATCACTCCCAGCTTCTCTTGGACCCCTGAGACCACAAAGGGATACAGGTTTTAGCAGAGGGTGGCCAGCAGAGATGAAGGTGAAACAAAACTCACACCACGAACCAATTTTAGGCAACCATCAGCTAGGAGCTGTGAGCACCGAGGAGCAGTGTGGCGGCTGCACATGGAGCTTTGCACCTTGGGTGTTGTAACATCACACGGGGTCTTTTGTGATTTTCTCCCTTACCAGCCTATGTGACTGCAGCCTCCTTCCCATGTGGGCTGGGCTTGCCAGGGCCTGTGTGCCTGTCCAGTTTTAGTGCCCAAGAACTTTGCTGCCTACCGTTGTTGTGGGAGTTCAGTATAGACTAGAGCCTGGCTGTCAACACTTGTACCATCAGGCCCAACAGTCATTTCTCAAGTTGTATGCTGTACAAGTGACTGTGCCTGCATTAACAGAGGACATGGTCGAGCTCCCCATTTCTGACCTCGACTACAGCACCTCCATTAGGACATGCCCTTTACTCACCAGATGTTCGAGGTGCGTAAATGACCCAAGCCAGCTCACAGGTGGAGCAGCCCTGCTTCAGCTCGTGTACCCAGCAGCCAGTGTGTGGACCAGTGCTGCCTGGTGACCCCACTCCTGTGACCCTGCTCACCAAAGCAAGCATCCAGGCCATGCTCCATCATCGGCAGTGGGACAGAATGCCCGTGGGATTTGTGTTGTTCACTAAGGCAGAGTCTCCCCATGGAGGCCAGGCTGGCCTGCAGCTACCTCAGCTTTCCAAGTGCTGTGGGTTTGAACTGCCCAGGAACACATGGGAATCTTTGATGTTTTGAGGGTGAGTATAAAGGCAGTGAGCTCTTAAGCATGGTCTACTCCCGGAGCCAGACTCTAGCCCAGCACACAGGACAGAGTGCTGACTAGCCAGGGGAGGCTGCGGAGGCACACTGAGCCTCCACACATACCATAGAGAAACTGAGAGCACTGGATGTACCCTTCTTCCATCTCTTCACACTTGTCTGCAGCAGTCTCAATGTCACTGATGGTAGAGGCAAAGATGGCGGCTCCACTTTCCACCAGCTGCTTGCAGAGGTGAACACTGTTGCAAGAGGCAGCACAATGCAGTGGTGTCCTAGAACCAGAGGGGAAACAGAGTCAGGAACCACCCAGGGATACCTGGGTGCCGTGTGACACAAACCTCCAAGAATTCTGAAGGTACCATAGCTTTGTGCCAGGCAAGTTTCTAGGTATTTTGTTAGTTTTATGTGTATGGATGTTTTGCATGTATGCATGTATGCATGTATGTATGTATGTATGTACATTAGTGTGCACTGGCCAGAAGGAGGGTGTCAGTGGATTCCCTGGGACTAGATTACAGATGGTTATGAACTGTTGTGTGGGTACTGGGAAGCAAGTACTGGGTCCTCTGGAAGATCATCCAGTGATGCATCGCTGGGGCCACAAAGTTCTACTTGGTTTTTTGAGACACTTTCTCTGTGTGGCCCTAGCTATCTTGGAACTTGCTCTGTAGACCAGGTTGGCCTTTAACTCACAAGATGCTCCTGCCTCCCGGGCGCTGAGATTAAAGGTGTGCGCTACCACATGCTTCCAGAGTTCTAGTCTGTAAGGTTTTGATTCATACAGATTACTTAAGATTATGTGTAAATCAAGAAATGGGTCTAACAATAGGTGCTCGCTGCATAGCAGTATCAACATACATGAAACATTTAAAGATACATTTATTTATAGACAGCTAAGCTGGTGACCGTGTGTGAATGTCCCTGTGCAGGTGCATGTAGGGACAGAGGATGACACTGGGCGTTTTCTTCCATTGCTTTCCCACGTTGGTTTTTTTTTTTTTTTTTTGGTATTACTGGATTTTGGTTTTTCCACGAATTTATTTTTTCATTTCACATCCCAGTATCAGTCCCCTCCTCCCAGTCCCCGCTCACAGAGCTCCTCCCCACATCCCTTCTCTTTTGAGAAGGAGGAGCCTCTCCACCTGGGTATCACCCCACCCTGGCACATCAAATCACTGCTAGGTATTTTTCACTTTCTATAGGACGCATGTATTTCATATAGAATGTTTGAAAACAGGAAGTAGAAATAATTGCAGTGCTAATAAGGGAAATGAAAAACACAAACAGCTGTAACAAGAAAGAAAAGGATGCAGGCAGCAAAATGCTGCAGATGGCTTTTCTGGGAATGAACAAGAGGTATTCTTCCTCTTATGATTCTCAATTTTCTGAGGCTTGAATCATCTCTTTTGTAAGGTAGGGAGTAAGTCTCTGAGCCTTTCCATCCCGCACCCATGGGCTCTCACCATCCATCACTGTCTGCAGCGTTCACGTTGACACCAAAGTCCAGCAGAAACTTCACGATATGGTGGTGGCCAGCACAGACGGCATTGTGTAGAGGGGTGATCCCTTCGTCATTGGGTTTGCTAGGGTCTTCCACCTAGGACACAGAGCGTGTGAGAGCCAGCCCTTCCAACTCTCAGCAGCACATACGGGAGGATGGCTTACCTCATAGATAATCCTCTGCACTAGATCAAACTCTCCTTCTAGAGAAGCATCTAGAAGCAGTGCTAGGGGGTTGAAGCGCACTCTCAGCCCATGCCCTGTCCGTTCAGAGTTAGGCTTCTTCAGGTTGGTCCGTTTGCTCTGTAGGTAGGTGGAAGCAGTTCAGTATCAAGTGACCTACCCAAGTCAAAGACCAACCCAAGACCCTGCTGTGGGACGGGGTGGCAGGAACTGAGGCAGTTCTCCAGGAGCAGCTGTGGTGGCAGCCTTAGGAGGGCCTGG